TTTATAGGCGTTTTGTGAATGACGAATTCTAAACGAGTGAAAAAGATTATATCACGTGAATAATGTCCAGGAAAGATCGTAAGGAAACGCACTTAATCATGAGAGTGGCGTACGTAACAATAAATGAAAATAAATTGTCAGTCCTATACCGAACAAATAGAAAACAACACTGTCATACAAAATCATCTACATTTTACAACAATAGGCAAAAACAGTCACGTGAGTGGTACTACGTTTTAAAAAGTAAAAGTGCTTTACATAAAAATTCAACAGGCAAGAAACATTTGGTTTTATAAACATATATAGACAGGTTATGCAACGTGTTATTTTACATCGTTATCGCCCTTGACGTGACTGGTTTCGAAAACAAACTAAAAACTTCGTAGGACGCGGACTTGTAGATCACTTTGGATTTTATTTACCATTAATTTGATATTACAATATTACAAAAGTTACAAATGTGTATTATAAAGCCTTCTTTTTTCTTTATTTGTAATACTGTAATCCTATTAAAAAATCAAACTGGAAGAAACCACTTAAACCCCAGAAAAATGAAAAGTATATATATAATTGTTATAAATCGACGGGTACAAAAACACATTCATTAAACTTCTCGGTATACCTGAGCTTCAGTTTACAAGATTATGAACGAGTGAGGCATAATGAGACTTGTATAACTCTAGCAAAATGACAAAAAAAGTGTTTCATGAAATAAACAATATTAATGATAAATTCTTGTTTGTAAGAAGTCATTTCATTGTTGTGCATAGTTTCATTCCTGTCACATCCTTTATCCTCATGCAAACAGGGGTGGATTTTTTCATTCCTGTCACATCCTTTATCCTCATGCAAACAGGGGTGGATTTTTTCATTCCTGTCACATCCTTTATCCTCATGCAAACAGGGGTGGATTTTTTTTATTCCTGTCACATCCTTTATCCTCATGCAAACAGGGGTGGATTTTTTCATTCCTGTCACATCCTTTATCCTCATGCAAACAGGGGTGGATTTTTTTTTAATTACGTTAAAACGTCAGTGCTATTCAATGCAATTTTTAAAATCATGTACATGTACATAATCAGGACTTAATTAACTTTATACCATATTAACTAAAATTTCTCTACAAATCACGAATACAATATTGCAATCAACTCCATAAAATATTTCATTTAAATTTAAATTGTTTTTATGTATGTACAAAAATATACATTTTAGAAAACACACAAAATCACAGTAAAATTATTGCATGTTTCAGAAATAAACCTTTTTCAAATATTTCGATAAAGAAGTCAATTAATTTTTAAGTTTTAGTTTTAAAACTGGATATCTATATATACATAGTGGCCAGAAATTATGTTAATGCATGTTACAAAACTTGTAAAGAATTATATTGGCACACACACACACATGATGTCACTTTCCATTTGCTACGGATGTAATGCAATGCTGAATTCCAAATTAGCGTCACACGGATCATATTATAATACTGTTAATATCATCAACCTCATCAGAAAAATAAAAGATAACCTAACCATTTTCATTCAACACTTTTAGCATATGCAGCTCACTTGAAACAAATGTCTGGTATTAGCAAGTATTCAATTGTGAGATCATTCAACACTTTTAGCATATGCAGCTCACTTGAAACAAATGTCTGGTATTAGCAAGTATTCAATTGTGAGATCATTCAACACTTTTAGCATATGCAGCTCACTTGAAACAAATGTCTGGTATTAGCAAGTATTCAATTGTGAGATCATTCAACACTTTTAGCATATGCAGCTCACTTGAAACAAATGTCTGGTATTAGCAAGTATTCAATTGTGAGATCATTCAACACTTTTAGCATATGCAGCT